ATTTTATAATAACACAACATTTCTGGGGTTTTTATAAATGATCTTGTAACTTTTTAACCACTAGATACAGATGGTACTGTCGCTGATAAAGATGTAAATCAAATGAAAACTTGGTTGGAATTTGAAAACTGAACGCCGTGGTACGAGTGCATCGCAGTGCCCAGATACAGTTAATCACATCTCTGCTGTTCAGACTGTTGGCTCTCGTTATCGTCTCCGGGGAGCCTGACTGATCTATAAATAGCCGCAGATGCAGGTGTATCTTTATTGGAGTGAAACTTCTCCTTCACTAAGCCTCACCTACTTGCATTTGATAAGCACGAGAGAGCTGATTGTAAGCACTATTTCTGAATTCAAGTCGGCAAAAGACGGCTTAAAGCCATCCACCTGTTAATCTCGAGCAGCTTAAACCGCAAACTGCAGCGTCGCCTCGGAAAGCTAGAACCGCTTTGATTTGCATTGCACTAAAATACAGGCAACTTTTAATATTGAATATGACTGCAGACATGTTTTTAAACAGCCTGCTGCAAGATTTCTTATTTAAATGAGGAAATTAAGGCATAATAAGCATTGCTTTTTCACGCCTGGCATTTTAAAAAAATTACATTTAGTTGTGCCGCTCAGTATGTAAATGAGCCTCCAGCACAACAATCGGTATAATTAAAATTTAAATGTGTCTATGCAAATAGATAGTTAGGCTTACAGTTAAACTCTGAACAGTGCTCTTTATCTGTGCTTTAAACAGTTTTCATTTTATACTCACTCGCTGAAAGTCAACAGCGTCAGACAGCACACATTTGCTTTGTTTTGAAACTATTTCTTAGGAGCAGGGTGACGTGCTCTCGCTTTCTGCTCTGAACTTATTCATCATATGCGGGGAGGCATCCTCTGCCTTATACCAGTCATGGTAATTTTTCAGTCTGATGGGGCCCGGTACACCTACAACAACAGGCTCCGTTTACGTGCATTCACTCTGATCTGCGCTTGACCTTCCTCGGCAGACACAGTGACTTTAAAAGCCTTTTATGTGATCCCGGGGAGGTTTTAAGGAGAGCATGAGCGTCTCAGCCGTGCCCCCTCAGGATACTGTTAAACACCTATAAACTCTTTAAAGGGATACTTCAAATCAAGAAGTCAAATTTCTCCATGATGCCGCTGCCTCGTGGTGAAACTTGATGATGCACATTAACATCGGAAAGGAGCGAGCGGGGAATGAAAATGAACCAAATGACCTCTGCAAAGTTGAGATAATTATTAAGGGAACGGCAGAATTATTTGCTCAAATACTAGACTGTGATTAAATGCTTGTAAATGTCACTTGTTTTAGTACAATTGTAGAGCTAGTGACAGGACGTTTTTCCTGGGTCAGAATGAGCCTGTGGTTGACTAACACACTGCAGAACGATCAGAGTGCTGCAGTAAAGTAATAGTAAAATTCTTCATCAGCACCAGTTGGTGTTTTAAAGAAAATAGCAGCTGGCTTACCTGACTAAACATAAAAAACCTTCTACAGGTACTAGTGTACCCCTAACATGTACGGAGGTAAATTCTCATATATTCAGGCCACTAAAATAGCAAAATAAAACACACTGGTAATGAGTGCCCATGCTGTTTGGTCTGTTTGCGCAGTTGGCATCCTGCACTGCTTAATTACATTAAAATTTGAAAACCAAAAAGAATAAATCAAAGCTACATATAGTACTGTTTATATAGAGTAAAATATATTTAAATCCCTGTGTGATCACGGGACAATGCCAGCTTTCCATTGTCTGAAAAATAAGCGCACTCCTACACTCGTCAGCCAGACACAATCCACCTCCATTTAATAAAATGTGTAATAAAATATTGGTATTCAAGACTTAAGTAAACACCCATATGGTAAAAAAGGATTTCAGAAATCAACTGTCATTATGTTTGCATGTTTATGCCTTATGGTTTACCCATACCTGTGAATAACATGCACCTGGCAAAAAAAAAAGCTAAAATTACATGCTTGAAATGGACCCTGCAAAGCTCACGTCTTGTTGTACTGTATGTTGCAGCTTTAGTCTGGTCTTAACACATCATATGATCGTATTAAGGATACCCATTTTTATCGACATAGAAATAGAAGAAAGCTCCTGGAATTGACTGTTCAGCGGAGTCGCATGGATTACTTGCACATATATCTCAGCTCACATGCAAGCAGAATAGATCCACTTTTACAGAAAAGCTTTTCAGCACTGTGGCTAAAACATCGTTGGGATGCACCAGTTATTCATCTCTCTTTACTTCCTCCTGGTGACTAACTCGCATAGAAGTATCGCCCAACCAACCCTCTGCCACTAATTTACACTGAATGGTCTTGTTGGATAGATTGAATTGTGTTATGAAACTGTGCTGAACTACATGTGTACAGGGGATCATTTTTAATATAAAAACAGCGTGTTTAAAAAGGAAACGACACACAGAGCTCTCAAAACAATTCCAAGTGAAGGGTAATTTTGCTCTGTGGCATGTGTAAAAGAGTAACTGCTTCCTGCTAACTTTTCACCATAAGAGTTATACGGTGGCGCTAGGTCAGTGTTGCTACAGCTTCTTATACTGCCTGAAGATGTTCAAAAATCAATTAAGGCAGTCTTGACATACTGTCTGGGTTTGCAGCCCTAGAGCACAAGTTGTCATTATGTCACTGAGCTTCCAGCAACATCTGTTTTTACAGAATTCTTATTTATGTTGCTCTTATAGGTTTATAAAATATTTTGGTCAAGTACCAAGAGAAAGATCTCTAGCTGCTTTAGGACGTTTGACAGACCGATACAACACACAAGAAACATTGATATGTGCTTCACATTTTTGCAGACTCACATAACCCTCCCTGAGTATGTTGATGTTCAACCATATATACTTTGTGTGATAGCAAGTGTGTGATTGTAGCGGTCAGGTATTTAAAATCTAAAGTCCAGGTAGAAGTCTCCTAAATGTATTCATAAGATGATGTTACTGGGAAATGTAGACGTCTGAGGTAGAATGGGTGCATTTCAAAGCCTTTTCAAAATGCACATGTGCCATCATTCAAATGTCAACAAGCTATAAACTTGCAAAATGCAAAGCTGCCAGAAAGCAGGACAGGTCCACAGCCGAAATGTCTGCAGCGATGAAAAGGATGCACCCACGCTCATCACACACACGTCCTCGGCTGCCCCGCAAACCCCTTCCTCCTCCTCTATCTCTTTCTTCACTTCATCACTCATCTTTCAATAATTCTGTTTTAATTTGTTCCATTTTAGCCTTAATGTTGTGTAATTCGGTGGTTATTATCCAGGAAAGATCCACTTGGGAAACCTTTTTACTGTAGACTACAATCTACTTCGAACCAGCATAATTACATTAATTCTGATTTCAACAAGACAAGGCAGTCTCTGATAGCTGCTGAGTGTGGGGATTTAAATAATTCCTGTTCAGTGATCTTACATATTTAATTTCTTCCTTCCTCTGTGGTTCTTTAACATTGAAAGAATAAGTTTAACAGTTTCCAACGCTGTTTATGAGATTTAAGCTTTTTAATGCAGCATTTTTTTTCCTCTCTTCTCCGTCTCTCTCCCACTGTGTGTCTCTTCCTCCCCCCCTCCATGCTTCCCCCTAGGACAGCTTGTTGGTCTTGCGGTCAGACAAGAACGTAACGCTGAATGCCAGAAACGAACAAGGCCTGCTAACTGGTCAGCTCACAGTGGGTGAGTTTCCACTTCCTCCTTTGTGTACCTCTACACTACTACTGCTGGTGCCATTTCCATCCTGAAACTATAAATTGCTGCTTGACTTACCTGCAAGGAAACACCTGCTGTGGAATGACTGTCTGCAATGTAGCCTTAAAGTGGTTTCAGTTTTTACAGTGCTGTGCAAAGGTCTTGAGCCATCGCTCATTTCATTATATGTTGCTGTTTGCCATTTTTGACTTTCTTGCCATTTTAAACTTTAACTTGTGCAAACGTTGACCAGGCTTTTTAAAGGTTTATAAAATATTTTCCTTGGAGATTGGCTGCTTTTTCACTTATTTTCCGTTTTCCAATTTAAAATTGTATATTCAAGCATTTTATCACCAGCAGGCTGTCGCAAAAAGGCTTTTCATCATGTGTATTTATGAAAATTATGATTATGAGAACACATTTTGACAAACATAAAATTTTGTTTTGAAACCCTACCTTCAAAAACTATCTTTAGTAGAAGAACAGTATCTGAAAGTTATGTTCTTAACAAAAGGAAAAAACTCCTGACAGAGACCTGAGAGACTGAGAGATTAGGCCACAGTTCGACTCGAACCTTTGCTGCTCCCTTTCATCCACAAGGCATATGGGCGCTTGCTCAACCAGTAACCTAAACGGGTGCCAAAGAAGCCATTCTTAAGGAAGAAAAACAAGGAGAAAAGGCTGAGTTCTGCCAAATTACAAAAGAACTGGAAAACAAACACGCGATTAGATTTTGATCCAACATGTAATACAATCTGGAAAGCTTCTAATTGGCAACTCGATTCATTTTTCAGCATGACAATGATCCAAAACACACTGCCAATGCAGTAAAAGAATACCTGGATAGAAATAAACACACAGTGGTATGCTGTCCGTCATGGATTGGCCTCCCCAGATCCTAGAGCTGCACATTATTGAAGCAGTTTGGGATCAACTCGACAGAAAACAGAACAAAAAGCAGCCAACATCCAAAGAAGAGCTTTGAATGTCCTTTAAGAAGCCTGGAAAACTGTTCCTGAAGACTATTTAAATAACAAGAAAGCTGCCTAACAGTTCAGGCTGTGTTGAAGAATCACATTTTTATACCAGATACTGACTTTCAAGCTTGTTAGAATTGTAGAATCTCTGTTTTTGGCTTATGAATGTTTTTCTAATAAAATATATGAAGAAATAAGATGCACTTCCAGACTTTTGCACAGCATTGTATTCCTCTCTCTTTGTACAACTTATTATTGAAAAAAAAACTGGTCTTGGATTAATCTGGCCACAGCTGTATAAATTACCAGATCAATACCATTTGTTGATGACTTCATTTAAGATTAGCACAACAATTTATCTTGAAGTTCTCTTTAATGCTTCTACATCTTATTCGAGTAGTTTTTTTTTCCAGACGCTAACCTTTGATGCTCTTATTGAAAGAGCAATAGTTTCATCTCTTTATCATCAGGTTCAGCCATCAGTCAGACTAAATTACCAAAGTCATTTACATGATTAATCACCACTAGAAAGCAAATGACCTGCTTATTAACATTAATAGCTATTGATCTTAGCCAGCATAAGTAGAGAGTTGATGGTGATTTGACAAGACTGTTGATATGACACGTTTTGGTCACGCTTGACCTTCCTCTGAAAATTACGCCTGCTTTTGTGGGTACTGCGTTTCGTCTGAAATGAGATGAAACTCAGCGAGAATAATTAAATTCCCCAGCCGTCGCAGGGCATGGATTAATGGCAGAGAGAGGAGAAGAGAGCAAGAAAAGGAGACGAATTTTGTGCATGCACATCTGGAAAAACACCAAAGTCTGGAGAACAGGAATTAATATTCCTCACCAGCGGAACAGATTACTGATTTGTCTTCATTCATCAGAGAAGCATGGCTGATCCAGCTTTGTTAGGAGCCTTTCATTTGCAAAGCAAGCACTCCACAAAGTATTTCAGATTGCTAATAGTCTTACATGCACAAACATACTGTAGCTTCCCAGAGCAGATTTAAAAGTCCAGAGTCGCATAAGTCAACCTTTATTTGACAGCGCTATTTTCAAAAAGTGAAAGTTGTTACCACTGCAGACTAATAAAACTTTTGAGGTGGAAATTTTTCTAATCGTAACTAAAATGTATAGTTAGATCTAGAAACATTCATAAAATACTGGAAAATGCAGTAGAGGTAAATGAATACAAATAAGCTGAATCGTTCCTTTGCCGTTAAATTGAGTGCACTCAGCAACGTTTACTGAAGGTTTTCAATGGAAACTTGAGTATCTACGTCTCTCTTGCAGGTCCCGAGGCTGTGGAAGCCCAGTGTCAGAGGCTGGAGGTGCGCAGCAGAGACGGGGGCACACTTCTGTTCACTGCCGACGAGGAGGAGGTCATCATGGCAGCAGAAAAGTTCACAGTCACAGGTAAGACAATGCTGGAGTCTCACTCAGTTGTCTTTGGATATCTTAAATAAACCGTGATCAATGGTGTATTGTCTAAAACTAAAAGGGCAGATTTGAATCTTACGTTTTTGTACTGTAGGTTTTCCCGGAGTATATTAGAAGTCCAGCACATTAATGAGTAAGGCATAAGTAAGACTTAAGACTTTAATCCACAATATGTCAACACAAGTAATATACACTATCTGGTGATTTCATTTGGTACACCCGTTTGGCTGCTTGTTTGTCAGTTATCTAATCAGCCATGGCAGCAATGCATTTGGGCATGCAGTCAGATGACTTTGAACGTGGCGTGATTGATCTACTAGGATTTTCCCTCTAAAACATCTCTAGAGTTTGCAAAGATGGGTCCAAAAAAACAGAAAATATCCCATGAGCAGCTGTTCTCTGGGTGCTTTGTTGATGCCAGAGGTCAGACTGCTTCATGCTAATTGGAAGGCAACAGTAACTCCAATAATCACTCGTTACAACCAAGGTATGCAGAAGAGCATCTCTGAATGCAAATATACAGCAGAAGACCACACTGGGTGACACTCTCAGCTCCAAACAGGAAACTGAGGCTACAGTTGACACAGGCTGACCAAAATTGGATATTGGTCACCTGGTTGGGTGAGTCTTTTTCCTGCCACATCATGATGTTAGGGTCAGAATTTGGTGTAAACAACATGAAAGCATGAACGAGTTGCCTCCAATGGTCTTCTGGTTTTACACATTTGCTTGGCAAGTAAAAAGGCAGCAGAGCTAATCACACAGCCAGTGCTGGGCTTAGCTGTTCTAAGGATTTTAATGATTGAAAGACTGCAGCAGGAGGTTTATGTGGACAATACGTGCCCATTGCCTGCAGTCTGTTCACTTGTTTTTTCTTCTCTTTTAAATGGTGATATAATGTAATTGAATCATGCAAGTCACTGAAAAATATGGATTTAGTTTCTATGTTTAAATCGTTACCAAAAAAGTATTTTGTGGAACATAATATGAAGCTGCACTGAACACGATCTGGGATTTGTTTTATCCGCAGGCTCGGAAGGAGCCGTGTTCGGACATTCAGTGGAGACTCCTCTGATCCAGGCGAGGGCTTCTGAAGACCTGAAGTAAGTTCATATTCAATGACTTTACTGAAATTCATTAAAGCTTAATGTCATCTGTTCATGTCCTGTTAAATTAAAATTAAGATCTTTAAATAATGATGATAGATGTTCTGTGGCATTTCAAAGTCAATGACTGTGCTTAAAAAAAACACATGTGGCAGGAGCCATTATTCACCAATATAATTATCTCAAGCACCCTCTTGTACTCAAGCGTCTCCTGGTCGCCTTGTTGTGATACAAATGTAAAAGAAGATTTGACCAGTTTTACAGCTGAGGGTTGAGCTAATTTGTTAGTTATTCTCTGGCAGGCAGGATTTGATTAAAGCACTAAGAGAGCTCTGAGAGAAGGGGGTATGGTTGAGCTACGTGTTGGAGTCCTATACTCCCTCGTGCATGTGATCCTCACTGCACTCTGCCTGAGGCTCTGAGCCCTGCGTCGGTCCATTAACGAGCTATAACGAGTGTGGTTTGTTGTCCACCTTACTGGTCCTGAAAGGAGGGCTGGGATCAAAGTTGGCAGAAAAAGCGGTGTTCTGGCAGCTAATTCCCCCAGAGTGAGAGGAATACTGATGAGTTTCACTTTAAAGCGTGTGCGCACACACAGGACTCACACAGACACACACAGGCTCAGCTCAGGAGCGACCATCTGCAATGTGGTCAAAGTCTTAATGAGAGGAAACCGAACAGGAGACGGTCGACACACAGAAACGGCAACATGACTTAAGCTGGGCTCTGATTTTCTTCTGTTTAAAAGCATATTCGATCAAAGATATTTAATTTATCAAAGGTTGATTCTGTTTGGGTTTAATTTAAAGATTTCCAAATTGAATTTCCTAAAATCCACGATGCCGTCTGACTGTGGACGACTGTCTTCCCTCACTGGTGAATTACTGAAGTATTTCCAAGCAAACAGATGTACAAACTGTACTGTGAGGACTAAATAAAGACTCCTTTTATATAGACCTAATTTTCTTTCCAAATGTCTTATGAAAGATTTTTATTTCTTTATTTTTTATGTTGAGTCAAACGGTTTTCTTAAAAAAGCGAAATGAAGGAAACATAATCCTGTGAGTTATTTATGACATCACTTGAAGCCTAATAACATTCTGTCTGTTTATTGAATAAGTGGGTTGTGGGAAAAACAACATTGCAGTTGATGCCAAATAAATATAAAAGTTAATTTATTTTATTTTATTTTATTATAATTCACAGAAATCTTCAGAGGATATCCTGGGGGACCTGCTTCCTCTTTAGTTATTGCAAGCTATTAAAATAATCATTAAACAAGCTTTTTAATCAGATTTTTTTCAAATTTAAATCTACAACCAAATGGATTTTTACCTGCAAATTAGCTAAATCAAAATTTTTATCTCTTAGTTGCAGTCATGAAAAAAAAAAAATGCAGGACTCTTCTCTTGTGAAAAACTTAAGCAGACCCTTAATGCTTCCATGGTAGTTAAGAAGTCACAGCAAGGTAATTCTAATCAAATATACTTGCTTAATTGATCATCAGCAAGTGTGAGCACCTCAATGAAAGCAAAGGTTTTGGCATTTTGCTGGTCTGGAGCATTTAACTGTGCGTTAACACAATGCCACAATCTTTTCAGGAGTGGAAGTGCCAGCAAATTCACACCAAGTTCAAACTATGCTCAGAGAAACTACCGAAAACCCAAGAGCTTTACTCAGACTGTACAGGCCTCAGTTAGCATGTTAAATGTTAAAGATCATGACAGTAAAATTGGAAAAACAATAACAAGCATGGCTTGTGAAGAGAAAGAATATATCAGTATGGGCTATGTTTTAAAGTGGCATCTGAACACAAGACTTCTTCAGAGAGATGAGACCAAAGTGATGTTTGGTTGTAACGTGCAGCACCAAATTTGGAGAAAACGTAACACTTCATACCAGCTGTAAAGCACGGTGGTGGATGGGATGAAGACTTGGGTTTGTTTTGCAGCCACAGGTGCTGGATATCTTGCACTGGCTGAGTCGACCATGAACCCCTCTGAGTACCAAAGTGTTCTGAAGTCCAATGTGAGGACATCTGTCCAACAGATAAACTTTGACTGGACCACTGCAACATCCTGATGCTTTTCTTTTTTAGCAGATTTGTCGCTGTGCTTTGGATCATTGTCCATGACCCAATTTCAGCTAAAGTCCAGACTTCAACTGAAACTGAAATAATGTTGGGTATTACCTTAAGAGAGCTGTGCATAAATGAAAGCCCGTAAACATCAATGAACTGAAGCAACATTGTAAAGAAGAGATGCGTAAAAGTCATCCACAAGAATGTGAGAAGTTGATGTATAGATGCTGAAAACGATTACTTAAACTTATTGCTGCCAAACTTGTGATTCGTGGGGTGTTCTTGGTTTTTCAGAGATTCCTGTGAAAACTTTCTTGTCCACATGAGTGTAAATGACCAAGATTCAGATTAAAGAGTAAAAGTCTCTTGCATATTTTAAATTCAGTATGTCAGTGGTTACATTTTTTAAATACTAAACTAGGCTTTACAGTAGAAATTGGATGAAGTGGAACGTTTAATATTTTGTCCACAAAAAAATTAAAATGTAATCTTAACCTTGAATTAGTGATTTAGAAACTACTTTCCTTTGTCCATTAGATGTGTTTTTTTCCAGCAATGAGCAGTTAAAGCAGCCATGTTTTGAGTCTGTGAAAGCGTGACTGTTTCCTAAAATAACCCAACTCTCACACCGTGCCAGCAAAACTCCATCCCCACAATCGCAAAGCAGAGACTTTTCATGATAGCCAAACAGTAAAATGTGAGCTGGAACAGCCTCGAATGATTACACATGTAGATCTAATAAAGTAGTCAGTAAGGTGACATCATCTTCAGAAAACACTGTCACTAAAGTAAAATATATACTTAGATTTTTACTTTAATGCCCAATATAGCTCATTCAACAATCTGATTATTTATCCAAAGAAAACATTTTTTCCCACATCTCCAGTATTTCTTTTAAAAGTGGCATTTGCCTTGTTCAGCATTGTTTATGTATGCAGCTCTGGGCCTTTCCGTAAATGCTAATGAGGCTCTTCCCTCCCGCCACCTCGCTGAAATCATGACAAGTTAAGCCCTCCTTGCAAATCGTGTGTCACCTGTGCAGTAAGCCCCTCCGGATGATAAGGACACAGCTTGGCTTGCGTCCACATCACCTTTCTTTCCCCGTTTAAAGAAACATCACTCTCTTTGTGATGCGTTTTATTTCCCTGAAAGCCAGGAGTAATCTGGGAGATGAACAGAGCAGAGTCAAATCAAAGAAAGCCACATGAGAACTTCTTCCTCTTTGAAGCACCTGTTCTTCTCCTGGAGTTTACCCGTGTACGCTGGCATTCAAGTCTGTCTTTGTTTGTTATGATCATTGCCTTTTGTGATTTTATTTCTTATTATGTGTGACTTTTACTGGTGGACAAGTGCAAATGACTTAGCCAGAGTGGCTTCCAGCATCTTTTGCGTTGGCAGCCTATTTAAGCGTGAGACAACTGAGATGTACAAGTTTAAACTGGAATGAGAGAACTGGAAATCTGAATTTGTAAATCTATAATATGTATATTTGTTGATGTAGATGCAGACCTAGCAGGAGAACTACATCTTTCCAAACTACAATCAAGAGCAGGAATAAAATCAGACATAGTTTCACATACTGGAAAGATTGTGCTTACTTTTCTTCATCTGCTGAGTCATCTGCTTTTTCTTAATTTGTTTTATTGGCTGGTTGCCTTGTGAGAGTTCTTAGTCTATGTGAGAATATCACCTGATAGACTTTTGTGACACAGCTTCAAGTGAATTTGTGGGGACAATCTGAAAGCCTTACGTGCTTGGGACTCTGTCCTGCTGGGGAATTTCAATGCTCACATGGTAAACAACTGTGTGACCGTTGGACGGAACAGCCTCACAAAATAATAGTGTTTTTGTATTTGTTTTGCTTTCATGGTAATCACTTTTTCTCCATTAGTGCACTTGGCAACAGGACATCCTAAGTCAGAACTTGATGATTGATTTTATAATCATATCATCAGACCTTATGTGTTGGACACTAAGGTAAAGAGTGGAGCAAAGCTTTCAACTAATCAAAACCAGGTGGTGAGAGGGTGCTCACTTATCAGAGGCCCTGATCTACAAGATCTTCAGTTCCCACCTCCAGCACAGCTTTGACAGCATTCTGAGGGAGACTGGTGGTCTGGTGCCTGGTCTGGTCCACTCAGTGGGTTGGTGCCTGGTCTGGTGGTAACCTCAAACCAGACATTGGACACCAGAGGGCAGCTGTCAAGTTGAAGAAGTAGTCCTATTGAGCTTGATTTCACAGGCAGCCGACAAGTCAGGCCAACAGGCCAAGTGGATTGCAACCACAGCAATAGCTGAAGTCAAAATATGGATGTTGGAGGAGTTCGGTAAACAAGACTTTCGGTCGTCCTTAAGGCAATTCTTGGAAACAGGAAGCAGGAATATCACACTGTGTAATCCTGACTCTATACTGTGCACAGTCAGGATGCAGTACCGTCTGACTGCAGCTGAGGATATTTTAAGTCCCACTGATATCCCTTATGTAGCAGGAGCAGAATTTGGGGGTGGTGGGTTGACTTGCTCATCATTGTCATGTTAAAAAGCTGGGATTTGTAAGGCTGTTTTGGTTAACACACTTGTGCAGCATTCATTCATTCATTCATTCCATTCATTTATTTGTTCATTTCAGGCACAACAAAAATACATGTGGAAGTTGGTGACAGAGCCAATGGTTTGGGAGACTAGGGTGTTGGTCCCATCTTATATACCAAGCTGCTGGGGAAGAGAGTCCTTTTTTTTCTTCTTTTTTTTTAAATCAAAGTTACGATTAAAGAGGGGCAATGTGGTTTTGATTCTGGTCGTGGAACACTGAACAAGCTTTTTAATCGTCTCGAGGTTACCTAATATGCACGGAAGTTTGCCCAGTGAGTCTACGTGTGTTTTGTGGACTTAAGATTTGGCATTTGACCGAGTCCCT